CTGTATCTCTGTTTAATCGGTTCTGTGCCTGGCTTTACCTTTATTCTGTGCTGCGCCATTGTGGTTGGTCCCTTTATATTTTCGAATTTTGTGAATTCTTCCTGTAGGAACTTTTCCAGCCATGCGTTTTCTTTCCTTGAGCGAGGTTGCCTTCCGAAATGATACATGTGCGCATGTACCTCTTATTATGCGATTGTATTGCTGGCGGAGAAATTGGTATTTTCAGTTTTGCCCATAAGTCTACGCCGATTAGTACGGCGCTTTCTAGTGACGGTATGACGTGGACCTTATGCCAGTATGTTTTCTTGTTTATCTGTATTGGCACTACTAGGCTTCCTGTTATCTTTGTTCTCCCACCGTCTGCGAGGCGCACCGTTGTGGTGTGTCCTTGTACTCTCGTTTGTTTCTTTAGCATTTTTGCTGTTTTCTTGGTTAATACAGGAGATCTCGAATCCCGAGTCTAGGAGCGCTTCGAATTTTTTGTCGTCAATTGTTACTTGTATATGCGGTCTCGGAGAGTATTTAATTGCGGGCTTATGTGTGACCAAGGAACGCCCTATTCCTCGGTCCTTGTGCGGTTTCCCGGCTTCGGGTGGCAATTTTTTGTGAGAACTCCGTCCTTTCCGCATTGTGAGCAGAATTTCCTTTGTTCATTACGGCATCTTTGCCTCGTGTGCCCTCTTTGCTTGCATCGCCAACAGTGTTCGGCCGCATTGTATATCGCGGCTGTTGTCGGTGACTGCGGTATTGAGCGTGTATTCCTACGGAATAGTGCTCGTTGTCGCTCTATATCTTCGATTTCTGCCGCCTGTGCTCCAAGTTCGTTTAGCGTGTGTATGTTGTTTCTTCTTATGTGCACTTTCAGTTCTGGCGACATATTTTCGTAAATCTCGATTTGGTCGCGTCGTGAGAAGCCTCCTGCTCTTCTCATCAATGTTGCGAGGTCGGTTGAGTATTTTCGGAAGGGTTCATTTGCCCCTTGCTGCCTTCGTTGTATCTCCTGTTTGATTTGGAATTGATATCGGTATGGGAAGAATAGTTCCCGGAAGACGTTTAGAAAGTCACCCCATTCTCTTCATGTTTTTTTATTATTGCGGTACCAGTGCAGTGTGCTGCCTCTTAATAGTTCCGGTAAACCTTGCAGCATTTGCTCCTCGGTATATCCGTAGCTGTTTTGTAATTTTTCGATGCGTTCTAGAAATGATATTGGGTCTTTCCCGTGAACTGGCATCCCCATTGTCGCATCTGGATTATTGATTTTGCTATGTCCGTTTGGTTGATGCTGTGCATCGATTCTGATACCCGGCTTGTTTCCCCATCTTCGTTTCTACTTGTTA